AGCTTCTATGTACAAAGCAGTGGGACTGTTTGGAAGCATCTGTTGTGTTTAATACTCGTTTATTACAGGTTTTCCTTTAATTCGTCACCCTGCTGTATAGTGAGGAAGGTGCATGTGTAATGATGACTGTGGCGGTGCTGCATGTTGTCCTACCTGAGTTTTTCTGGTTGGTTACAGGTTTGCCCTCTGTGGGAATAGAGTGCTGGAAGATGTGCACAGTATCCTGGACCGTCTGTCGGTGCAGACAAACCTCCAGCGGGTCGATGCAGGTCGACACATTCTGGGCCAACAGGTAGCGTGGCTCGGCCTTCAGCCGCTTGAGAAAGGCGGCTACCTTCTCCTGACTCAAACCTGCAAAGGGAAGGAAACGATGAAAGAGGCAGAGGAGGAATGAATGCCACAAAATGAAGGAGGAAACGCAGTCACAAATAAAGTTAGCTTGTAACAGGAAGTCTTTCACAGCAGGAGTTTCCAACCGTCCCAGCACCATGACTCATCTGTGCGCTTTAATCATACACACGCCCCACTCAGGATCCAACTTGTGAGCACTCAGATGTCACAATTATGCTGTAAACACCAGATCAATACTCATAAACCAACAGCACAGCCTTTATTGAATGTACGAGTGTCTGCTGCTTCCCTTGTTCCACCAGCTGCACACAGATCACAGCAGAGAACAGCCTGTTAAGGATATTAGACACCACTAGGACCAGAGCTCTGATGCAGGACGCTGAACACACAGCAGCAGTAAACAAGGACAGCAAGCGAGAATGCTTTCTAGTAGTACGACAAGTGGCCTGAGGGAGCCGAGGGCTGATCAGAGCCCGCCGGGATCCCTCATCTGGCTCCATGTGTGACAGGAACACACTGGAAAGCCCGTCTGGTCCGGATAGGAGGAGGGGGGGCACACTGACAGAACCAGGCTGGCACTGGTGTGTGGTTTATGATTCCGTCAGTTAGCAGTGCAGAGCCATTAAACATGGAGGGGACATTGCCTAGTCATGCATGCTGCCTGGACTTCGACCTCTCAGCTGCATTCTGTTGTTTTTCATCGACACCGAGCTGAAACACACAGAGCACCACATTAGGACGTGCCAAACTTCATTAACCGTCATGGTATCAGGACGAAAGCAGAGGCGAGCCCAAGGCAGGGAATGTTCTGGGTCCATGTCGCCAGAACAGGTCTGTGCACCACAAGGACAGAACAGGTCTGTCCTTGTGGTGCACAGCCTGATGAGTGTGGACAGACCATGAAGGGACAGTTAGAGGCAGAGGTCCGACCTGTCACAGCACCTCATCCCAACACACCACGCAGAGGGTCCAGTTCAGAACAGACTGGACTGAAGGGGCTGAGACCCGGTGGCTCGCTGTTACTCAACAAGTGGGCTGTGAGTGATGAGGGGTTCTGTGAAGAGGGGCCAGGCTCGGGCTGCCAGGGTGACTTGCACATTTACACCCCGGTGGTTTCCAGCTGGGTTTCCATCAAACCGGCACCTACTGGGCCCATCACTGCTCCATGGGGGCTGGCAGGACAGGGTCAGCTGATCAGGACTCTGAAAGCTTCCACATGGAGGAAGATGTTCGGGGTCCTGATGAGAACAGGACCAGAGCCTTCAGCAGGAAGGAGTTACACAACCAGAGCAGGAAGCAGACCGACCCGACCGGTTCGGCTGCCAGGAGGCTGACTTGGACAACTTTAATCTATTAAAAGTTATGAAACGTAAACGGAGATGTTCTGTTCTCGGGTACAAACTCTGCCTCCTATCGAGACCGTCCGACACGAGTCGGCTCCACTTTAAAGAGTTGGCAGGTCCACCGAGGCTAGCTAGCTGCTCGGCTAACGGCCACTTCCTGTAGCTGCCACCGGTTCAACCGGCCCCTAAAGCCGTGCTGGCTCCTGGGTGCTGTTGGGTTCTGGTTCCGTGCCCTAATCTGCGGCTCCAACTGCCCACCTCGTCGGGAACACCGCGGCAGAGTCATGCTAGCAGGCTGGCATGCTAACGCCGTGACTACTAGCTTAGCCGTTAGCTCCGTCAGCTGTCATTCTGGACCCGCCGGGCTCGGACCGGCCGGAGACCCGAGAGCGCGGCCGGGGCGGGACCCAGAGCCGCTCAACCTACCAGTGTCCATGTTCCGAGGAGCTAGAGGAGCGGTGTCTGTCGTCCTGATGAGTCGCCGGCTCTTTGTTTATCTCACCACCGACCGTCGGTCCGTGTGCTCCCGGGGTGCGCTCGTTTACGGACTCGCTCGGTCTTTGACGTGGCGGTTGGGCGGAGTTAGCGAGGAGCGTGGATGAGGACACCCGTTCCCTCCGCGAAACCCTAACACGGTGTCCCAGCAGGGAGGCGACCCCTGGGCCACAACATCACTGCACAGCTAGGGACTGAGTTGATCCTTTATTTTAGATTAGTGGTTACTTCATTCATTCATTCATTCATTCATTCATTCATTCATTCGTTCATTCATTCATTCATCCAACCTTTGCTGTAAGTCTGAGTACATTGAAGTGGAGTTCACTGAAGGAACTTGGCACTTTACAAAATATTAAAAAGCAAATTTAGTAAAACAAAAACATTGATTAGAGCATTAAACACAGGTAATAAACTAAAACGAGACGTGCTGGAAGTTAAATAAGCTCTAAATAAAAACCAGAACTGGCCACAGGATGAAAATCAGTCCAGCATTAGGTTTACTACAGTAGCAGAAAGAGCCACAGACAATCAGTGAGGTGGATCCACAAGAGTGAAGAAGAACCTTATAAACACATAAAGTCTGTCTAATGTTTTGTCTTAATGTAGTCACCAGGAGGGACACTTGATATTTAAACTCATAATTCCCAGATATCTGTAACGCTCTCAGAAACTCAGATGTGGCCACACAACATGACTATTGACAAATCTACTATTCATGGAGTAGCTCAGGGTTAAACGGTGCATGTTTCATTTGATATAAATGAGTTGATTTAGAACAACACAAGGAAAAATGATTGTCCAGGTTTAGAGACCATACTGGACACAGTTATTTTTGGTTTGGCAGTGGAGGTAGCTACAGGTACCTCAGCTGAGTATTTTACATGTTATTCTACTTAATACTTCCACTCCAGCACATTTCAGAAGGAAATCAGAACTACTGCTCATGTATGTGTTCACATTCTACGAATCTGACTTGTTCTTTTTTTTTTCTTGCTCTCAAAATACTAAAAATACAAACACAGTTTTTTCTTTTTTTTCTTCTTTTTTTTTAACAAGTTAAAGAAAGAAAAAACAATGTTTAACTACAGTGTTTTGAGAAGCATGTTTGAAGAGAAGTAACACTTTAATGCAGATCCTGATATTCAGAATAAATGCAGGCAGAGTGTAATCAGATTACACCTCAGATCTCTGTGTTAACAGCTGCACCATGTTTTCCTCCAAACTTCTCTCAGTAAATGTTTAAATAATCAGAAACTAAAGATAATATGAGATAAAACAGATTACTGCACCACAACTAGTTGTTTCTTCTCTCATTAACCAGGTTTATCTGTGAAAACGTGTGGATGAAGTATTTCCACCAGTTTCAGCTCTCAGCCTGGATCAGACGCAGCAGCAGGATGCTTCAGTTTTAGCATCTAATGGTGTCAGTTTGTCACATCAGATTAGACTTTTCCCTGCTACGTGTACTTGTCCTCGTAGAAGAGTATTTTTATGTTGCTGTATTGGTACTTTTACTGAAGTAAAGTACTTGAATACTTATTGGGGCAGCTCCAGCCTCTCTGGGTTCTCACCAGAGGTCACCATGTATCGTGACCTCTGCTGTGACAGCAACCAAAGCCGGCTTTTCTTTCTCTTGATGCAGGTGTGTTCAAGGACACCACAGCTCACCAGCTCTGTTATTGCTGCACATCAGAGTGAACGTGATGAGGAGGAGCATCGTGATGAGGCGGAGCATCATGAAACAGGCGCTCCTAAAGTCAAATCTGAAATGTCCGGCTTACAAAATATCACTATGCTATTACTATTTCATCATTACACAGTGGAAAACAGACAGCACATGAAGGAGAAAGAGAAGCTACATGTCTAATGATTAACACATATGCAGTTAATATCTTCTCTCGAGAAGTAGCAGAAGCTTTTATTTTGAAGGCTGACGTTGGGCTGTTGGAGGCTGGTAAGAACCTGAAGAGTGAACACATTTGTTGGAACAGCTATGAAGCCCAATCTTGAAACTTTCCCTGCTTGCTCAGACAAAGAGACCATGAGCGCTTCAGCTGTCGTGAGTCATTTAGCTGCAGCAGTTTTGCAGTACACATAGCAGGTGACTTCCCAGGATGCACTGGGCTGTTAGAGGAGCAGGATGCTGCACCGTCCCAGGATGCACCTGGCACCTCTCCTCAACAGTCCACTCCTTCAGCCTTCATGCTGTTATATGCCACAAACGTTGCGTCTTGTTTCTCCCGTAGTTCATGTGCTGTCCTCTCAGCAGGTCTCGGTTCTGATCCGCCCAAGGACTCACCACCTCCCCACGGTTTATTGTTGTCTGGTGCAGTTCTTCACCTGATTCTCTCCACTATCAGTTCCTCCCTCCTCTTCACCCTCTCTGAGCCTGGTTCTGCTGGAGGTTTCTAACACTTTTGCCAAAGAGCTGCTCACAGGTGAAGGTGGAATTTGCCGTGTTGTGGTTAGGCCTGACTTGGTTCGTGGCCCAAATGGATCTGAAATGCTCATCCACCAGCTGGAGTCAAAACAAGGAGACGTATGCAGCCTTCACCAGCATTATCACATCACACAATCAAGCATGTAACCAGCATTTTATGACACTATGAATTCCTCACAGTGCTAGAAAACAAAACAAGAAATGCGTAGAGAAGAGAGGACAGGTTAGTCTCTACAAAACTACTTCTCTCTTTGTGTCATAGTTCCTTGAAACTGGCCCCTTTCCCGTTAGAACGCTGTATACCGCTCATGAAGTGTGTGTGTGTGTGTGTGTGTGTGTGTGTGTGAGTGTGAGGATTAGTGTTTCACTTCCTTCCTCAACCTCCCACTGGACCAGAGCAGAGCAGCAGCAGGAAAAAGGAAAGCCTGTTTAATTACTGCAAATGGGAAAAGAAAGTGAGAGCGAGCTGATAGACTCCCAGAGACTGACTACGACTTTAAGCAGCACGGCCGCGTTTCGGAGGAAAACCTACGAGTCTGACAGCTTTTTACGACGAGTCTTAACATGTAGCCTGAACCTGCACAGAAAGTGAAACGACCTGTGATGACCCTGAACAAACGGCACCGTGACGCTCAGACATGTACGGCTATCTCTTCAGCGTCTTTTTCTGTGTCTGGATCTCACAGTCTGGTAAGTGACATGCTTCAGCTCCTATAAGTCTGGACTCTTACTCAAACTGAAACGGGAATCTTTACCAAGAGAATCATGCCAAACACTGAACATCCTGCTGTCGGAGCTGGACTGGCACAGACGAAGCTCTCTCTGAAGTAGCTCCACTGACTGTAACTTTGTTTTTGTAAAGTTTGAACACCTCTTTATAGCTCTTATAGCTTCTTTTAAAATTTCTATTCTATTTTGTTTTGAGGAGTCTCCATGTTCTCCCCGTGCAGCGTGGGGTCTCTCCGGGTTCTCCGGCTTCCTCCCACAGTCCAGAAACATGTTGAGGTTAATTGGTGATTCTAAATTGTCCGTAGGTGTGAATGTGAGTGTGCTTGGTTGTCTGTCTCTAAGTGTAGCCCTGTGATAGACTGGTTACCTGTCCAGGTGAACCTGCCTTCACCCTGAGTCAGCTGGGATACACTCCAGCCCCCTGTGACCCCAGTGAGGATTAAGGTGTAGAGATGATGGATGGAGTTTATTTTAGTCTAACAACATTTTGCTGCATAACGAGTGTGGTTTTATGAAATCTTTACGTAGACTAACAAACATATGACAGCATTATGCACTGCTGACAATCTGCTTAGATTTCATTGCAACAGGACACAGAATATCTCTCAAATCAGATTCTTGAGTCCTATTGTTCACACTGGGTCTTGCAGTGGTCTTTTGAAAAACATAAATAGCGACATCAAGCCATTGAGCACCAGTCTGTCAGCACTGCACCAAATGAAAACCTCTGTTATTTCTGTGCATTCTGACCAGTTGAGTTAAACTTCCTTCCTTCAGGTTTCTGCGCCGAGGACTGCAGCCAGAGTATTCTGGCAAAACGTGGGAGGTTTTCTGTGCCAGCAGGGGGCAGTGTGTCCCTGTCCTGTGTGGTCCAACACTGTGGACACACCTGGACAGGCACCTGGATGTGGAAGAATTCAACATATGAAAAGTCCAGCACTGTTCAAGGAAGTGCAAGGCATCATTTAACCAACGTGACGCTTTCTGCCAACCAAACCCGACTGGTTTTGGAAATTGTGAGAGCTGACCGACTAGATGGAGGTTCCTATCAGTGCAGCGTTGTCTGGGGGGGAGGCAACATGGAACAGGGACATCTGACAAACGTGAACATCACAACAGGTATGATGTCATATGTGTGCACATGTTTGCACAAACGCTTTAGCTAATTGCTCTTGTGCCTATTACTCTCGGTGTCTGTCCTCCCGTCCTACAGCTGTCCCCTCTCAGAGGCTCGTATGGCACCGGGTTCTGATCTGTGCTGCTGCTGCTCTCTGTCTTCCCATCGTTCTGGGACTGGCTCTCTGTCTGAGGTCAGAGGTGAAGCCTCAGCTGCTTCCCCCACCACAGCTGTACACGTCAGTGCAGAGAACGCCTCCAGGGCCTGCTCCAAAGCCTCCGCCTCGATGCCCAGCACCACACAAAAGTAAGACGTCCGTTCACAAAGGTGTGTCCCCACTCTTCTGCCATCAGCCTGGACAGTAGGACTGATCCAAAACACTTTCACCCATACTGTGTGTTTCTTATATTTTGCAGCTGGCCCCAAACCCCAGCAGAGGACTGAGGTGGGTCGACGTCCTGTCCGGAGATGGGATGGTGACACGTCCTCGACATTTCTCTGACCAAACTTAAATGTGTCTTTTATGCATTTCACTAACCTTTTTCTGTTATTCATAATGTTACAGATAGTGTATGCACACATTTCCCAGGATGCATTGAGGCAACAGGGAGCCACCAGAGAGTCTGACCAGGCCACTGTTTACTCAGCCGTCAGATTTTCCTGACAACACCTGACCAAAGCTGAGGCTCAACGATACAGTTCTGAAGAGGAGACACCGCAGCTGGACAGGAAACTACAGATCAATACAACCCTCGCCGGTTCATCACTTTCATTTTTGTATTGCAAGTTTTCTAAAAATGTTGTGCTTAGATATGCCACTGTGGTATTAATGTCTAACATGCCCTGTTGTGCGTCATATTCCAGAGCATACATCTGTATGGTGGATTAAACCACTTTCATAAGTTTTGAATGTTTTAACAGCAAATTTGTCAAAAACCCTTTTGTCCTTCCAGGAGCTGAATAGTACTGTCAACCACAGGGCAGAGTTTGTCATATTTTTGAGAATACAATTCTCTATAAATCAGCGTTGAGTTTGTGACTGGAACTGAAACCAGAGATTTCTGACTCAGTGCGAGAAGAACTGAACTTATTTGATAAATGTGTTGCTGTTCATTGTTTCCTCATATTCCTGACATAATCCTGTGTTACAGTCAGTACTGAGGAGTTTCATGATGTGTTAATATGACTAAAACTTCCTTATTGCTCCTTCTGCTATTTTGTTTCTGACTTTATTTCACGGACACAACAACTGTGGTTCATGTAGACTCCAGTCAGCGTGATGCCTGCAAAAGAGGATCTGAGCAGCTCCCGAATGAGCAGATTGTTATACAATAAAACTGACCGTCTAATGTTTGATGCTCTGCTGACCTACTTGTTGTGCACTTGAACTGAGTGCGACCTAAACAGATGTAGGAAGGCAGGAAACACGAGGGCCATGTGTGAAAGTAAAATCAGCAGTAATATTTGATGAAACACTGCATGGTAGCTCAGTGGGTAGCAATGTGGTTAGCATCGTTGCCTCACAGCTAGAAGGTCGCCGGTTCGCTTCCCGGTGAGGACACCCGGGATCTTTCTACGCAGAGTCTACATGTTCTCTCTGTGCAGCGTGGGTTCTCTCCGGGTTCTCCGGCTTCCTCCCACACTCCAGAAATATGTTAATTGGTGATTCTAAATTGTCTGTAGGTGTGAATGTGAGTGTGCTTGGTTGTCTGTCTCTAAGTGCAGCCCTGTGATAGACTGGTTACCTGTCCAGGTGAACCTGCCTTCACCCTGAGTCAGCTGGGATAGGTTCTAGCTCCCCATGACCCTAGTGAGGATTAATCGGTGTATAGATAATGGATGGATGGATAATAACAATTATAAGCTGCACTATAATAATAACGCCGTGTGAGTTTTTAATTCCATTTCAGAATTTACTTAACATATTCTAAAATCCCATTAATCCCACCTCATGATAGTGTAGTTGATGACTCACGCTGAGATCATTGTTTTTCTTTAACTGTACAGAAATTTGCATAAATGTCAATAGACAAAATGTAGTAACATAAACACCTCCAAAAATGCCTGTTTTGGAGGTTTTGTGGAGCAGAAATTAAGGAGATGTTACATCTACAGGCTGCACCGCTGCAAAGAGCTACAGAGATGATTTCACTGATTGTAACACTTGTGTTGATGACAGATTTAAATGTGCTGCAGGCGTAAAAATGTGAAACAAACTCTGCCTGTAAGTAAGTTGTATGTACATTAAATATTAAAGCACTGTGTGGAGAGCTTGCAAAAAAAAAACCAACGCAAAAATGACACAAAATACAACATTTTATTTTAGAATAAATTCTCAGTGGCACATTACATAACCAAATATACATATACATATGTTTAGACATCTTTAAATTAATATATTTCCTTTAATAATTTTACCTTATTAATCAGCGTACTCTGCAGTGACATTTTTACATGACATCAATGCAAAAGAATCGTTTCATAAATTAAGCATATTAACAGAGAAAAGGCTGCAGGGCGTTTTAGGCGATACCTGCTACAAACTAAATGACATCTGAACTTCCCGCTTCTGTCCACAGGATTTCTGTCCCTGCTTCACTTCCTCGAGGTAATCACTGGTCTACACTAACTGAGAATAGTTTCCTGGCAAGTTAAAGGTCACCTAAATTACAGAGGATGTTTGTAATTTGGGAGAACTGAGACACTGTTGAGTCCTCCTCAGCTACAGGAATGGTTCCTACACATTAAGATCACAGACGTTCTTCTCATACACCAACAGTTTGGTCACACTGGAAACACGTCAAGTGTCTTTCAACTTCTTCTTGACTGACTCCAGTTTGTGCGACTCCTTCATATTGTGTAGTTGAGGATTAGAGCAGACCTTTGGGCCTGTTGTGCTTGTGAGCAACTGGCTTTGCACTTTGCTTCTAAGAGCCTTTGTAAAAGCAACTAACAAGGCGTAAAATACAAAATGCCAAAAAACACAAACAAAAAAAAGTTTGAAGTTCACATTCAAGGTGTTTTTGCCAAAGGTGGTTCAAAGGTTCATTATAACCTGAAGCATCTTCTTCAAGTCTTCTGCATCAGCTCACATGCTGGGAAACTCTAAAACCCTGGAGACTTCCCTGTTCAGAAGAACCACCGAACACATACGCCGATACACTGAGCTAGCAAGCTTCAATGGGAGGTATCAGAAGGTGAAATGCTTTCTGTAAGTGCAACGTCTATTTTCAGCAAATGTGGGTGTTGGTCGGCTACCCACAACTGTGCTGTAACCAGATCCAGGAGACTCTTATCCTCTCACATAGTGAGAGACACACAGACAGACACACAGAACAGAGAAAGAACACACCAGTGGTGAAAAGGGCTTCTGATAGATTGTAAGGCGCAGCTTTGGCTAAAATAAGCTTGTGGCAAAATGTGTTGGCAGTGTCTCCTACTGAGCTAATGTTCACTAACCAAGCACTGAGTTCAGGGCTTTGGAGTGACCCTTGTAGATACAGAAATGCTGTCATTGGAGGAGACATGTCACATTTATAGTGCAGGAGTCACGACGCAGCAGCTAGCTAGGTTACAAAAGCATCTCCAAAATCATAGATGTTTCCTAGAAAAGCAGTTATATATGCAAAGAGCAAGTTCAGCTCCTACAGTGGAGGAAGGAAACGTCCACTTCCAAGGCTTGCTACCGAACACCAATCAGCCACAACACCAAAACCACTGACAGGTGACATGTACATATTGATCGTCTTGTTACAATGCAGGGTTCTGCATGAAAACCGGGGGTCCTGGCCTCCATGTTACTGTACTCTGATGCACACCGTGAACCTAAGCACTTGTCTGAACCAAGCAAACCCCCCCCAGTGGCAGCGATCTGCTCAGGAGGCCACCAGCCTCCAGACTCCTACAACCCAATCCGACTGAGCGTCCATGGGATGTACCGGGACATCCTGATCAGAGCCTCCACAGGACCCAGAGGATCCTAGGTCAACATCCCCTCCACCTCCCCCCCATACCCATTACCACCCCATGTCCACCTCCCCCACATACCCACTACCACCCCATGTCCACCTCCCCCCCATACCCACTACCACCCCATGTCCATCTCCACCCCCACACCCACTGCCACCCCCATGTCCACAACCACCCCATGTCCACCCCATGTCCATCGCCACCCTTTGTCCACTACCACCACATGTCTATGCCCCCACGATCAGGACAGTTGTGGCAGCAGACGGGGCCTACACAGTAATAGCCAGGTGTTTCAATGCTGTGGCTTATTGGTGTAAGTCTACTGTGCATCAAATGTCTGCACAAGTTCATTGGTGTGTCTCTGTGTACTTTTTTTTTAGGCAAAAGAGGAACTGTTACCAGACATACCGTCCAAGGGCAAAGGCAGAAGGGAACATCCTGACGTCTGACTAATATTTCCACTGAGCACTCTAGAGCTGACTAGATAAAGAGAATCAGTTTTACTGCTTTTCATTACCTTCATGGCTCTCGATTACACAAGATGTCTGAGGAAAAGTCTTGCTCTGTCTACACTCACAGCATCACAGCCATGCCGAGGCCTTCGGGTGATGTGAACAATTAACAACTAGGATGCAGCAAGTGTTGACAATTTTCTGAAGCTAAACGTTGGTTTTAAAATCATTTCTGCTGCTTCTCGGCACTGAACGCTCACAGTATTGTCAGCTGGGTTATAGCGTGGGGCTCTGGTGCAGTCAGTCACCTTGTCAGATTATCCTTGGCTTAGGAAGTGGTTCTACAGTGATTCTGTGGTTGTTGTGATTGTTTCTTCTGTTCTTCTTTATTGTTGCAGCTCCGTCAGCCTACGCTGTCCCTTTGTTGTGCAAGTCTGTTTTTTCTGCTCCACAAAGCTACTCGGACTGAAAGAGAAGAGAGAGGCCAGTTAGAGGAAAACCTGGGCCTGTTACCCAACACCAGCGTTACTGTTCAGAGACACCAGTGGTCCACAGATAATGAGATGTGCTTCAAACACACACCAGGGACCTTGTTATGGCCCCCCGCATGCAGCAGTAATGCTCCGAACTCAAACGTCACGTATGTTTCTGGAGTTAGTCCTGTTTAACTCGCACTCAGTAACAAGAAAATAAAGCCAACAGGCAGACTTTAAAGTAAAACTTACAGTCGTAGATGAGTGGCTCATTTTGTCAAAGCGGAACTTCAAGTTTGACCTCGGTGATGTCTTATTTTTCCCATCTGCAGAATGTAAATGAGGGGAACAGAACAAAGGGAACGGTCCTTTCAATGCAAACCTATGGCATTCTGTTAAAGCTGTGACAGTAAGGTCTGAATGCTGCAGGTCTACCTGTTGGACTGCGACACATGATGACAGGAGTACCGGATCCCTGGCTGTCGACACTGAGGGCAGGGCTGAAGGCAGAGGAAGAGGCTATGGATGGATGGCTGGCCTGGGAGGAGGTTAAAAGTGAGGTTAATATGGAGGAAGAGGAAAGAAGAGGGTCAGTGAAACAAGGAAACTGTGTTTTGCTGAAGTTGAATTAAAACTCTCTGTCAGTACAGTGACTCTCTGGTACCCCTTTTCCACTGAGCTGGTTCCAGTGCTGGTTTGGAGCTGGTGCCTGACTTAGCATCAGTTCTTTGCATTTCCACCACCTAAGCACCGGCTCCAGGTTCTAAGAACTGGTGCTTTTCAGGCACCAGCTCTTTGCTGGGCCAGAGCTAAGCACCAAGTACATCAGGGGCTGGGGGTGGGTGACCACCGAGACCGATGAATGAATGGGACACACAAGCGATGATTTGTGTCGTTTTTCACCAGGATGTCTCTGGTCAGATGTATTGGAACGAGTCCAGGGACACACAGAAGTTCTGCACAAACTGTTCCGCTCATAGAAAACAATCCGAATCAGAATCCGAATCAGCTTTAATGGCTAAGTACGTACACAACATACAAGGAATTTGGTTTCGGCTGTTGGTGTCGCTCTAGGAATTTACACGAATAATAGAAATAGGAAAATTTTAAATTTTAAATTTTAAAAATAAAACAAAATAAAGTAAAACAACTACATAACCTCATGAGGAAAAAAAATCACTCGGTTTCATCTCAGCCAAATCTGACATCAGAATGCCCTGGTTTACTCTTTTCAAAGTCATCTTTGGTCGAACACCGGTCTGAGCACCGCAGCCACCAACAGCAGCTAGCGCAGCTTGCTATGTGGGGCGTTCAGGGTACATCGTAAATTGTAGAGTCTATCGATAAGAAAAATGTTCAGCAAGTCATATGTTTTGCCTGTGACAAGGTGGGAAGTATGAACAAATGAGAAAGATGGTCACACCGGTAACAAAGTCAGTCTGGAGTCCTGTGTGGACGTCTGTGTGGCGCCAGCGTTGTTCGGTAAATGGACTACGTATGCAGTGACGTATGGCTCTAACTTGGCTCCTGGCTGATGGAAAAGCAACCGGTTCTTAGATTGGAACCAAGTAAGCACTGAACCTAGCACCTGGTTCTTCTTGGTGGAAAAGGGGCGTCAACATTCACATGAAGCTCCACAAGGTTCTTTAACACATTTTTAAAGTTTAAATGTTGGTGTAAATCTGTCACATTTCAGAAAAGTCGTTTTTATGCTTTTAAGACGCGACTGCCCAGAGCTTCCCTTAGCATGAAGTGTGACAACAGGAGAACACAGGGAGCTTGAGTCTGTTTTATATATATCTGTCTCTTTTGAGGAGAGCCAGGCTAATGCTGTCCCTGTGTTCAGCGTTAATGCTACAGAAATGAGAACTGTATGGGTCTTCTCACTTGTTAAAATATGCTGAAATGCTTTAATCAAATTAAAATGTAACGAGGACAATTAAGTCTTTGCTTTGAACCCGTCAGACTTGTGATAATCGTTGTGTGCTTCACTGCTGTGCCATGCATCAAACCACACGGTACTGTTTCCTCTGGCCTTCCAGCTTCACTCTGACAGTTTAACAATGCAGACTGCCTCTGTGCAAACCGATCTCAAGCTAAACGCTGAGAGCAGGGACAGTGACAGCGTTTCTCACATAATATAAAATAACACTGACAAGCAGTGTCACCTGATAGCAGACACAACCATTATACTAGATGTGCTGACGTCCAACACTCTTTTCTCAGCAATTATAGACGTTCTCATCCATGAGGCGCTGACACCACTAACAGCCTGACACTCTGACGGCTCCCTCGCTTCCAAACACTCACTTCCTCTTTTCTCTGTGGTAAAGACACGCTAGCAATAACAGAAAGCAGGACAGAACTCCCATTTTCCTCTCAAAAACTTTGTTTGAGGAGCGTTTGAACTCACTGTGTCCAGTTCCTCCAGAGCTTCTGTCTCTCCGGTGGTGCTGCTGAAGCTGCTGGTGCTGGATGAAGAACGGGAGATGTTGGGCCTGCTGCTGCTGCTGCTGCACTCCTTCAGCTTGATGAAGGGTCTGTGGAGGACACCAGTTCATTTGATTACACACTTATATTAGCCTAGAGAGGCCACCTTTGCCCTCAGCCAGCAGTGAACTCAGCTCTCACCTCTCTTTGTTGGTGCAGATCTCAGGCGAGCTGGGGTTGGAAGACGTCTCCGACCTCACCTCATGTGACAGTGGGCACATCTCTGCCAGCTTCTGGTCGCTGCAGACAGAAGCCATGACACTAATAAAAACCTGCGACCTGACAGAATCACGACATCTAACGCAACGAACACTGACCTGCGTGAGTGTTTGTCTGATGGACTTTCTGTGCTGGAGTGCAGACGTGGAAAGAGTCCAGACCTCCGTTTCACTGGGCTCTTCAGAGGAGACTTGGCTGACAATGCAGGAGGCTGAAGGCCACAGATTACAGATGAGTGTTGCAATATTTTACATCAAAACTTGATTTAAAATCACTGGAAATTGTTTAAATGCAACATTAAATATTCACGACTAAATAACAATTAATGATAAACTTCATTTAAACCTTTCAAGGAGTGAAGCTGCTTTACAAAAAGATCAACAATAAACCTTTAAAAAAAGACAATAAATCATTTAAAAATAGGCTAAAATGACATAACAGAGAGTAAAATACAAATGCCAGTTTGTACAGGCGGGTTTTCAGAAGCTTAATAAAACTGAGCCTTGGCTGAGTAAAAGCTTAGGCTTCCCTTGGTTTTAAACCTGGACTGTGAGTTTCTAACTGCGTTGACTTTTAATGTGAGGGGTCTGGTGCAGAATTAGGAGTCAACAGTTCTGAGATGTAGCGTTGAGCCAGACCCTGTCAAGGTTTAAAAGTAATCAAATATAAATGTAATCGGATGGAGCCACTGGAGGGACTCTCTGGGTCGAGTGTTGGTCAGTAATCCTGCTGCTGCTTTCAACCAGCTGTAGAGAAGAAGTTTAGGGTGCGGATGAAATGAACAAAACTCAACATTTCAGTTGAGTAAAACCATCCAGACTGTCTAAAAGACAACTGATCAGCTTCATCATCAGAGGTATAGTTTGATCAGACACTGCCAACAATCTCATCAATCATCAGATTTTGATTCAAATGTGCAAAACTGTTCAAACTTAGCAGAAAATACGGTGTTCAGCTTCGTCTCTATCCCTAACATTAAGCTGGTTGAAAAATGATGTTTTATGGCCTTTTAAAGGTCCCATACAGCAAAATCCATCTTTATTGTGGTCTGTGGTTGTTATAGGTGCGACGTAAAAAAAACTGTTCAGACATGAAGAAGTTTTTTTGTTGACGACTTCACCACAACAGGATAGTGTTAGCACACTGAGCAGCTAATCTGCCAAACAGTTTGATCGTCGTCACAACGATGTGTAAATTGTAAAGCTGAGAGACAGTCAGAACCTCTTGGAGTGGTTTGTGATAAACAACACGTCTCCTCTCAACTCAACCGGGGTTCACATCTGTTTGCTGTTCTGCTGCCCTCAGTGCTCACAGGTGCTTTATTTCAGAACAGCACACTTCTGTTTCCAGACAGTAACATTAGCATGGACTACCGGCCCAGTAAGACTACATGTCTAGCCACTTCACAACACTGATGTTAGAACAGGACTGTATCCGAGGGTTATGCTGTACATTCAGGTGAAATCAACCATCTCTGCGCTCAATGTGGAGCCTTTGAGGCAGACACTCAGAAACATGCCTCAGATGCAGCCTGTTGGAACCAGGCCTGATTCAGACGTCAGTAACGAGGGCTACTCTACATGATGCCCTGATTAGACCAATCATCCTTCTGCCCCCTGACAGAACATCATCTCTCTCTTCCGTTATTCACTCACAGTGAAAGTGCTCTTTGTGCATTCGCTGGTGCTCTGCGGCAGTCCTCCACCGCTGAGGCTGGCTGGGACCCCTCCTCCAACCCCGGGGCTCCTGTGGCGGTGCGACCCCACCATGGTCTCCATGGAGTGGCTCCTGACCCGCATGGCTCTCTGGAGCAGACAGAGGCAAACAGGTAGTAAACGATGGTGGCAATGCAGACGCATGGAAGCACAGAAGGCAGGCAAGAGGGACGGCAACATAAAGAAGACTTTTAAAGGCAAAAATAATTTTCTTATATGGATTAGAGGGAAGACAGCTGCTACTGCATAATACAACCACCAGAGGGCGCAGTTCACCAAGGGATGGGCCACCAACGAGTGTTAACTCACTACTATACAGTTGGTTCATTGGTAATAAGTATCAATAAGGCTTATTCTTCATTTCATAATAAATTCATGTCAGTAGCATTAAATTCAGATCAAACGCAGACATGATTTCACTTTGTTCTCTGCTGCAGATATGATGTCATGCATTTGAGGTCAGAGTTCTTGCAAAGCATAAACACAAACAACTTAATATAAATTCTGTTTTATTAATACGTGGTAATCGCTTGCATTTACAGTAATACAGAGAGGTAATACACAGCAGCTGCTATGACAGCAATGAGAAAGGCGCCCCCTGGGACTGACTGCAGGAAGTGCAAAGTAGCGGTCCATAATGCCTGCGAAAAGGAAGAGAGCCAAACTGTCACATAGTCACACATGCCATCATCTCACACACATGCAGACGGAAATTCACATTTTAATGGTCCCATTAGCATCAATTAGCCTTCAGCTTAGAGCACGGAGGGGCGGGAGTGGCGAGGCCGAGTTAGACGGCCAGTCGAGGAAACAGAGGAGACAAAGAGAAGCAGGCGTCGCATGTATGAGCACTGCAGCGTTTAGTTCATGTTCACACGTCAACAGAAGGCAGCAGCGACCGACCAACAGAGGTTCAGCACCTTCAGGTGTGGCGTGACATTTAGCTGACCTACAACCCAACACCTCCACTCTTGTGCCATAATGGCGGTGATTAAATAAATGTCACAGCGCTGAGAAATGAGGGCATGATGTACTCTTGTAGGCTTCATGTTCACCTTGAAGGACTCCAGCAGACCCCCGTGTCCCCCGTTCTCCAGCTTGTCCTCCTCGCCCACCTGGCCCAGGCCCAGCGTGGCCTGGCTCTGCCGGTGCAGCTCGTCGAGGAGGTTGTCGAGCAGCGCGGCTCGTGTTCGTCCCTGGAAATCAGCAGACACACATAAAGCCATGTAGGAGAGCACGGGAGGCAGATTCAGAGATGGAGGGCCTGCTGTGGTGTTTGAGTGCAACTGTGTGAGCGTGTGTCACCTCTAGTTTGGCGAATTTGTCAGATTTGTAGCAGGCGTTTTCAGCATTGATCAGCTTTGTCAGCAGGAAGTCTCGGAACTCAGGCCCCTGGAGAGAAAGACAAGGAGAGAGGGGGAAGGAGGGGAGTTAGACGGTGAGGAGAAAAGGTGCAGAATGTCGACACAGGAAGGCGACCTTCATCAGCATCACACGGGTTACACCTGACAGCTCGTCTCTGCTCCTGGTCTGCATCATGTCTGACTGAGGAACTGAACCTCACGTCAGACGTCTCTTTCCAACGTAGCTTCATCTCTGAATAAGACACCTCACTCTGGTTCATGTGTTCAGTAGAGATTACTGTTTTTAGTGTATATAATGGCATTTGTAAGAACTCAATGGAGCAACTTGTGAATAGAACAGTATATTGAAATGCATACTCTTATTATTGTAATGTTGTTCAAATATATGGAGTAATATTTAAAATGATGTTGTTTAGGGACATACACTTATTTGCCTTCAGGCAGAGAGCAACAGGAACGGGTAACTGAATACCATTCTTATACCTGCATCCAGTTAGCTTAGCTTAGCATAAAGCCAAGTCAAGTCAAAATGCTTTTTACAGTAAAAACAGGAAAGAGAGCCAAAGTTAAAGAGCCCATATTATGCACATTTACAGGCTCAAAATGTTTTGTTTTGTTTTGTTTGAAAGGTTTACATGAACATCCAAAAGCATCAACTGGGCTCTCCCAGAATCCTCCAGCAGCACTCTGGAGCTCACTAAAGCTGCATTCCTTTGTTTAGAACAACAGTTCTCCGTTTTAGGGGGATGATGTCCTCACACTACTTCTTGGCCGGGACTGAAGCAGTTGCCAGGCAACCAGCAGAGATTGCAGGAAGTTGCTGGGAGGTGAGTTTAGGTACCTTTGCATAGAGCTGCTTCTTCTTTCCAGTTTTCAGGCTAAGCTAAGCTAGCCAGCTGCTGGCTTCAGAGTCGCTGCTCAGACATCAGACTGCTGTCAGTTCTCCTATAACTCTCAGCCACAGAGCTCAGCAGTGCATTTACCTGGATGGTGAACTACTCCAACACTCAGGTGTCCCCCACTAAGTTATTCATGGGTCTTAAGTTTAACAATAATTGTTTATTTCTGAGTCACGTGCTTCACACAGAGTAGGTATCTCTGTTAAATATAGCATAGTCCATGTCTGAGATGTAGTTTCTTTCTAAATGCACCTTTCTTTCCTTCTTGCATCGTGTGATTGGCTGACAACAGATTATGTCTGTTGTCAGGAGAATAAAGGAGCATTCAAACTTTTTCATAACATCATTTTTAAAATTTGGACTTGGTGAAGGAATCAATATATTCCAGTCAAAAGGCTAACGTGAGGTCTTGAGTTCTGGGTTCTCAAGTCAAAGTGTTGAGCTACGTCCACATTTGAATTATTTCTCAGTCCTCAGAAGTCTGGCTGCTGCTGAGAGAACACCTGTGTCCCTCACCTTCTTGAAGACCGCTGGGTTGGGCAGAGCGGGTCCAAAAGGAGGCACGTCTTCTCTGGCTGTAACAGAAACCTGTTGGCATCAAGCAAAAACGGTCACATACTGTTAGTACGTATTTCAGGACAGTGCAGGGTTAAGGCTGTGAGCAGGAAACACAGGAATCGTACAACCGACTCATCCTCTACTTTGTTGTTTACATGGTTCGGTTTCCTGCCCAGAACAAACCAGTCCTGGTTCAGGTCAGAAGTAGCACCATGTCAGCACAGAACTCCGGTGTGTACCTTGTATGTGGTGTGCTCCGTACACGGGTTCTCCGCCTGCACCAGCACATAGGCATGCAGAAAGTTGGAGGCGATCATGTCAGGAACAAACGGCGTGGCCTCTTCCTGGAACACTGCAGCCACAATATCGTTTCCTATGTGCCTCTTCCTTTGGAGCTGAAGACAAAAGAGTCATGAGTTGACCTCAGACGTTTAGAAGCACACAGCTTCTGGTTCTATAAACCTCTGAATGCAGAAAGACTTTATTTATGTCTGAGGAGGATTTAAGAGGCTTCACATCAAAGAGAAGTCATTTGATTTACCATTTAGCCATAGCTTACATGATAGCAATTTAGGTTTTTATTAGAACAGCACAACAGGCTGTCAATGACCAGACCGAACCACTTTCATTTGGTACTAAATCCATCATGCATGCGGTGTCACAGTAATAAATCCAGAATGAAGCCTGATACCTGCTGAAAGTCGCCCTCAGTGAAGGGAAGCTTAGTTGACACATGGAACATAATCTCTCTCTGCCTGAAGACGGTGTAGACGGATTCAGAGCCGGTCTGTCCATGGGACACGTCCAGCCCTCCGCGGAACCTGTCACGCCATCAAAGCGCATGTGTCATGTTCTCAGTGTGGTCTCCAGCCGTCATGTATGAGATAAGGTTCTACTGCGTGCATCACATTAGTCTCATTTCAACCAGCTCTGGTGCTGTCCACTGGTGTTCTGCCGTAACGTGTCAACGACAATTCAAAGCCTCCCTAACAGTGAACGTGACAAGTGTAGTACTAAAGAAAAAAGCCTACGAGACAATAAACAGGGCATACAAAGCTCCTATTACTTGTCCATGTGGCACTTTCTTCCCTCGGATCTGTTTCACTAAGCAGTTTATCTCCGTCGCATGCTGAGTCCTAAACAGCAGGACAAATTGCTCCAAGGTTACAGTAATTAAACCCCGCTATTTTCCTCTGCTGCATCACACTCCTCCTTCTCTCTATCTTGTGCATGTTACTCAGTTCTGCTGTTTTCCCTTTTACACCGCGTCATTCTGCTTGTTTTCCACTGTTACCCTTTAAAATCCTGGAGGTCGATGTTGTCTCCTAAGATACTGAGAAACTCCTTGAAAGCAGGCGTCTCCTCGTTGTTCCCAAATAACTCTTCCTCTGACGTCTGCGAGGCAAACACACACATAAACAGTAGAGGAGACAGAAAGCAGAGGTGACGCAGTGCACACAGGCAGAAGGTGTATTTGAGGTAAACAGGTGCTGCTAAGTCGCTCACCTGTCCAAACTTCTGGTAGATGACGCCAAATTTGAACGTGTTGTTGACCTCGTGTTCGTCATAGGCCACTATCAACTGAGATCCCTGTTCAAAGACAAAACCGTTACTTCCTACTCTGTCCTGATGGCTTTGAAACACTTTCCATGAGCTGCAGCAGTTTGGAAACATGCTTTCTCTCCTCCAACTTGCTGCGGGGCAGTTTCCTGGGCCCTGGTTATGTAAGGCCGACATGCGACAGTTTGTGGCAGCGATCCTGTCGCTGTCTCTTGCATACGGAGTCACAGATGGGTTTTTTCCTTCCCTAAGGCCCAGGCTGAAAGCATGCTCCATCACCCTCCTCCACCAGGCCTCCAGGAGGAGGAGCAACATCCATCACGTCCATTTTACAAAGTTGCCCTCTCATCTATTGGTTTTTGAGTAATTGCCTTACGAGCAGGGCAGGTGTTAGAGAGGCAGGGGGCTCGGAGGGTCAACACTGATTGGTTGTTTTTTCTGGTTGGGTTAAAAAGTGAATGTATGTGTAGGGTCATGTGGCAAAAACAACTAAAAGCATCAGTTAAACATTTAAAACAAAAATGCCCCGGGCATTAAGTGATTGCATGCAGAATTTATGAAAAGTTATTCATGAAGGTTTCTAAAGCTGTGCAGATATTACTGAATGTAACGTTAGCATTTATCTGCCGGCAATCACAGGTAGCTCAGGTCAGCTGGACTAGATCTGTTGGAGGACAGAGGGCAGACCGGCCGTGATGAGGCCGAGCTGAAGACAAACTCACCCGAGGATACAGGACCGGGTTGAACTTCAGCCCTGTGGCATCATCACACAACAGCTGAGAGGAAAGGAAGAATAACGGATATTAGACTGACATCTTGTGAGAGAAATCCCCTCATCTGCACCAGGAAGCGTCTCAAACAGCTAAAGCTAACAGAATGTACTACTTACAAATGTATTTAGGAGCTAAAGTGGATTTCTTGCCTTCTTTACATCTTAATAAATCATTGATGTACTTTGCTGATTTATCATCAGAGCGTAAACCTGTCCTCCATCACTGAGTCGCATCAGGGCAGAAACCATCACACGTATTCAAGGATAATGTTTAAAGATGAAACAGACACTTTTCTGCCTTTGGATTGTTTATCTTGTTCTCTTTTATTAAGTGAAACATGGACTGCATAAACCGCTGTGAGTCTTCCCAGGCTGGTAAACAGGAGCCAGGGTTGGTCCCATCGGTCATCGGCAGGTCTTATCACTGGTCAGACAAAGCTTCATCGTCTTCTGAATGTTTCATCACAACGACTAATAACTACAGAGCAAAGTTTGATGGCGTTTGGTTTCATCTTTATATATATTAAGATGAAACATCAGGGAGAGGTTAATAGTTCTATTTATTTCTTTGTTCATTGTGTTAGCTGTTTTCTGGTACTTTATTGACTAATACTGTGTCTGGTGTTTTTTAATGCTCCCTGTGACCCAGCCTCCGTGGACCAAACCCAGCGCTCACAGCTGCCGTCATGTTTTGAGCGAAGTCCACAGACAGCCTGCTGTTCAACCTGGTGTCGTGTCTTACCTTGGCGATCTGAGGCACGCTGGGCAGCTGGCTGATGCCGGCTAAAGAGATCCTGTCGTGAACGGTTTTGGTCCTCGACCTGCAAGCGAACAGAAGGAGCAGCTCTGTTTGTAGGTCTGTTCGGAAATGTGTGCCATCAAAGAGATTTTGTCATTTTCGATAGTAAGTTCCCAAAAAGTTCAGTCCTTGATCCCTCAAACAGATGCCAGAGACTCCCAGAGATGCTCAGAACACACAAACGAGGCAAACAAATCCAAATCTACTGGAAAATAACGGCTAAATAGTTTTCTGCTTTTATATTTTAATTAGAAGAACAGAATAGAAAGTTGATAAACTGGCAAACATCATCTCGAAATCTACAATGCAACAGTTAGATTAATGATTATGCCTTTCAAGCTAAATTATATTTATTTCTCCCTTTTTACTTTACAGAAAATGTTCTATATTATTTATACAGCACTTTTTCTGAAAGCTCATTTTGTTCTTTCAGCTCCCTGGGGGCTGTGCAGAAGTGTTTGTGAATAATTGGTTGATATTGTGAACTTCTATGTGAATAAATTCAATTAAAGGGTTTAAAATCAGTGGTGGAGTGAATATGATCCGAGAATGAGGCTCTTATTTAACAATCCTGAGCGTGTGTCCATTTAACAGATACTTATTTTTTTTGGAACAAATATGGCCAGAATATTCTGTTTCTCATCTTTTTTTTAAAAAATTGGATTTGATTTCTGTCTTGGGGGAAATTAGGTGAAAAGCTCTGTTCATGCTGAGTTTAGCCTCCACAAGTGTGAGCAGAGAAAAGGATTAGTGCAGGCTGGCTGTTGCTAAATGTGGTGATGCTGTCAACCAGAAGATTAGCCATCACCTGGCTGCAGCCCTCTGTGGCGCCCACAACAAACCAGGATGCGCTTGTTTTTCTCGCCTGTTAATGAAAATGTCACCAGCTATGACGGCAGCAGAAGCCGTCCATTACAGACACACAGGTCAGAGTTAAATATGACGAAGACAACACAGCGCTGCCACAACAGAGAAGCTTCTGATGGAGAGAGACGGTGTCCAGGTAGGACTCATTTATTATCATTCTGACTTTATGATTTCATCGCATTGTCAGTCAGTCGGTCCATTCAGCACAAATCTATGCCATGGACAGACATCATGTTCCTCGGTGGAGGGATCTCCTGACTTTAAGGACGTCCCGACGCTTCCTCGAGCGCCACCATGACACATTCCTGTTCCCCCTCCAGCATAATTTACATCTAACACTAGTGGCTGTCAGACTTTATAGCAGCCGGCAGTTTATGATCAGATCAGTGAAACTAACATTTAGCCTCAGATGCTATTTAAATGCTTTTCTGTCAAATGAACATGTTCAGTTCTGTTATGACAGCTGCTGCTGTTGTAGGCTAAATTAAAAACTATAATCCTCGGTAAAGAAAATCCGGAAAGTCAGATAACAAGAGGTGCTTACAGACAAAGAGAGCAGCATGACGGAGTTTAAATCCTGAACTCCAGAGCAATGAAATACGTCCAGTAAGACACTGGCGGTGCACTGATCTCACCTGAGCATGATGCGCAAGAACTCCTGTCCCTCAGCCTCCTCGTGTTTCAGGGACATGATGAGGTTGCCTATGCTGCTGCCAGTGCAGTAGTAGTTCATGTGCTCCTGGGTGCAGAAAGGAGGGTCAGGCAGAGTCCGGCCCCAACACAACCACACAGCTGTAAGCAAACGCTGACATTAACGTGCACGCAGACCAACCTTGCCGAGGAAGTGTTTGCGGTAGGCTCGGGCCGTGCTGTTGCACTCCAGGCGATAGCTGTGCCCCCCACCAGGGCTCATGCCCTCTCCTCCATCCTCCTCCTCACAGAAACTGGACTCTGATGAGGATGGGGTTCCTGCTGGGGCCTCCACATCCTCAATCCAGTAACCCCCAAACTGAGGCAGGATCACCTGGGGGTACGGGCCACCCTTCTCCAGGACCTGAGGACAGACACGATAGAGACAGGAAGAAAAAACCCAAAATCTAATGAATCAGAAACAGGGCTTTCATGTGCAATGCTGGTTAAGAAACAAGAACAAGAAGTTTTTAAAGATTTAAATAGCTGGCCTTTAGCTTTACATGTTTTATCTGCTGTCAGGAGCTATGAGCTAATGCTCCACAGCAGCAGGGTGTCAGTGTGTGTGTTGAATGTGACGTGTCAGACACTCACATCTTCTATCCGTGGATAGGGGATGTAGTCGTCCTGGAAACAAGAGGACACACACATCATTAAAAGACCAACATTAGCTGAAGTGAACTCCACTGACTGTTGCCACAATGATAAAGTTGCACACAGACACAAACACAGACACAAAACAGCAACACAACCTATGATGCTAAATGGACACTCAGGAAATGATGCAACAGCCTGAAATGCAAAGTCATCAGCGACCATCAGTGAGGGTGCGTCACCCCGTCATGGTGTCAGCGCTGCTGTGTGCCGTTGGCAGTCTGCTAGCGTAGCGTAGCGTTTGACCTCTAATACTGCTGAGGCCTGTCTGGGAGCTACAGCAGCCACTCATCTGTATTCTGCAGCAGCAGGAGTCAGGACGCTGGCAGGATCAATTGACAGTTGGAGTTCATTCAACTTATAATCAATCAGATCAGGAGGTTATTGATTTTGTACTCTCAAGTCCCTGTGAAAAATCTGACAGTGTTCACCGGGCTTTGAGAGTCCCTCACAGCAGACAGCTCAGACCCAGGAGCTGAAGCAGAGATGGAGGACAACAAGGAGAAGACTGGAGGCCACACAACCACACACACTAATGAGGTCCACAGAGAAGACAAGAACAAGCGTGCATCCAGTCACCACCTTCCACTTTTTGGTCTCTTCAGCTTTCGGGACCTGATTAGAGTCCGATCGCAGCATGAGGACGGAAAAACAGCAAAGGTCAGAGAGCAAGTCCACTTCATTTATGTGCATTTAAAATGATGGAACTCTTGTTTTCAGGTTTCACTGTCTCAGAAGTCAGATGACAGCTGATGAGCCACACACACACACACACACACACACACACACACACACAGGTATTGCAGACATCATCCTCTGAAGCCTGCCTCCACTCATGCATCACTCCACTCTTCATGCTATCATGTTGGGACACTAAACCTGCTTCAGTCTTCACTGTGTCTATGGAGACATGAAAACCAACCTGGCACACACAAAAAAACTGACCAATTATGAAAGAGGCCCAGAGGAGCAGGTTGTCTACATGACAGAGCATAAGAGTGAGGAAATAAATGCATGTGTGGGGATTCAGAGTCTCCACATACGCTCCACTGTCATCACTGCCGCTCCCACCAGGCACCTCAGTATACACATACATACATATACATATACATATATATACACAGACACACTAGACATCACATCCACTTCTGAGGCTAGTCTGTAGTGGTTTGGTCTGTTGATGGAGCAGCTGTTACACTCAGGAGGGAGTCGCTGTCAACAACATGAGAGTGATCACAAAAGCCTTGTTATTAGGCTTCAATTTCCAGTCTGACGGAGATGAAGAGAGGATGGAGGAGGAGGTGGAGAGCGGACGGAGGAAGAGGAGGTGGAGAGAGACAGAGGAGGAGGAGGTGGAGAGAGGATTGAGGAGGAGGCGGCGGAGAGAGGATGGAAGAGGAGGAGGTGAAGAGAGGACAGAGGAGGAGGTGGAGAGAGGATGGAAGAGGAGGTGGTGGAGAGAGGACAGAGGAGGAGGTGGAGAGAGGACAGAGGAGAAGGAGGTGAAGAGAGATCGGAGGTGAAGAGGGGACGGAGGAGGAGGAGGTGGAGAGAGGATGGACGAGGAGGAGGTGGAGAGAGGTGGAATCAGGAAGAGAGGAAGAAAGAGGGAAGAGAGATGGCAACAAAAAATGACCTTCATCATGACATGAGCACATGGAGGGTCTGATGTGCTGAGCTCAACAACTTGAGTTTAGGCTCACGGTGACTATAAACATGTGGCGCCGTTAGATCGGCTGCCGTCCACCAGTCTCACTGTTCATGACTCCACTGGCCAGGTTGTCCTGCTCACCTCAGCCTGCATCTTCTGGAAGTCATTACTCAAATTAACAGGCGTTCTTTAAAGGTGGTCTTATAGCAGCAACAGACCTGTCCATCTCTCTCTCTCTCTCTATGTATATATATATATAACATGCAAATATTAAATGGACAGTGTTTTCATGAGCAAATGGAGCACTTGCTGAGGACAGTTTTCTGATAAACTTTTTAAGAGACGGACATTATTCTGATAAACTGTATTCACATATTAATGTTGGTAATTGCATCAGCTTCATATTGTGTGCAATTAAATCTCAGATTTCTATGTTAATTGATTTAAAAACTATATTCCAGTTGTATTAACCTAATGGAATTATAATTTAATTCTTCTTTAACGAGGTCAGAGGATCTGTAGGTTGAGTTTCACAGGAAATAAACCGCCGACCATGCAGGTGCAGGCCAAAATAGAAAATGAGTTAGCTGAAGTGTCCTTGAATTAATTTATCTCTTAAAAGCTCGTACATGAGCAGAACCACGTCCAGCTCCACGGTCGGCCCAGCGGCTCTCTGCTGGGGAGCTTGTTCAGAATTATGGTCATTTTTTAAAAATATATTTCAAACTAGTAGGGCACCCCTACAGCTCACTAGCTGAACGGCGACCCATGAACAGGCTGTAGTTAGCTATAGTTAGCT